AGTGTCTCTTCACATCCCGGTCCAGTGTCTCTCCACATCCCGGTCCAGTGTCTCTTCACATCCCGGTCCAGTGTCTCTNTCTCCACATCCCGGTCCAGTGTCTCTTCACATCCCGGTCCAGTGTCTCTCCACATCCCGGTCCAGTGTCTCTTCACATCCCGGTCCAGTGTCTCTTCACATCTCGGTCCAGTGTCTCTCCACATCTCGGTCCAGTGTCTCTTCACATCTCGGTTCAGTGTCTCTCCACATATTGGTCTATTGTCTCGGGAGGAACAGAAGAACATTCCAAATACTTAGAAATATTCACCTTACGTGAGCTAAAAATAGTAAATAAGGTGCCCTACAGGATGGATGAAGAAAAATATGTTAACTAAAGGAGACATTTTTTTTTCGTGTTCACACAGTAATATGAGTGATGACTTTATGTCGCAGTTGTTGAATGGCCTCAATTCCAACAGGCTTCTGCTTGTTCAGAGTCATTTATGCAGGATGAATACATGCATTTCACTATAATATTATGGGTTAAATATCCTAGTGCATATGCATGGTGTAAAAATTATGCTCTGTTCAGGGCTAAATAGTTTAGTTTATGCTACAGCTAGTAATATCCTAATAAATTAAAGGAAAAATGCACCTGAAGCAGAACATTTTGAAGAGAAGTGCATTTTTTCTGTGGTTCTAGGGTTCAGTACATAAGCACATAGGATCCTTTGTTTAATCTTGTTTCAGAAAACAGAGCAGAAGTGTGAGTTATTTACCTGTTCAGTTGATGTATAGCAAGCAAAAGTTTCTTTATTGAATTAATATAATAAAATGTGTGTGTGTAAAATGCACATCCACAATACATGTTAAGCTGTTTAGTCAGCATAATCAAAGTCATGTCTTTTTTGTATTTGAAGCAGTAGTTTTATTGATTGGTATATTAAGAGCTATAACTATGTATGGTCTACTAGAAATAACACATTGTTTTTGTTACAAAGCATTTACTTAATTTCCAACCGGGTAGCGAAAAATAACAGCTTTTGTTGTCTGGTTAACACATAAAAGCCATTTTTAGCAGTGATGCTGACCAAAGGCTGCCCTGAACACACAGGAAAAGGTGGGTGTCTTAAGCTACGCTGGTGCCTGAAGGAGAGTGGGCCGTCCCTGATCCATCACCTCAGGAATAGGGGACAGGGGAGAGGAAGCTGGGGAAGCAGATAAGTGTAACGCAGGGGGCCAATCAAAGGGAAGCAGAAGGGCTTTGATGGGATGTTTGTTACTGCCTGCTCCATCTGTCGCTAATGATCGCATGCTGAATTAGCATGCAGGAAGTTCATGATATATTCTTGGAGGAGAGGTCCTGCATGCCACCGGAACGGCCCTGTCTCTCTGAACTAATGAGGAATTTGAGTCATTTTCTTACTGCACAGGTGCACGCCGGTTAACATCTCACAGCAGCTAACGTCACACAGTGGATGATGTCACACTGCGGCTAAAATCACACAATTGCGGTTTTCATACGGCAGTTAACTTCACACGGCTGCTGACATCACATAGCAGCTAGTGTCACACGCCAGCTGACGCCACCCAGATCTTCCCATTAGGTCGTGCGTTTCTCTCCAAAAGTGTCGCCGTTAGCGTGTCTCCCTGGAAACCTGCATTTGGTTACTTTGCTTCATGTTCTCTTTGTATCTCGTAGTGCTTTTTTTAAATAAGCTTCTATGCAAAACTGTGTCCAGAATCAAATACATCTTGGAACAGAAATAGTGCCCTGTGGTTGTAAAGTGGATCCTGATAAGTAAATATTATCTCACTGTCAGGCATTTGCTAAGATGACCTTCTAAATAATTGGTTTATAACAAGCAACACCTCACTGAGTGCTTAAAATCCAGTGATTTTAAAGAAGATACTGCCATCTGTTACACAAGTTTTCAAGCAAATCACATCACTTTGTGTATTTTCAGAAGGCACTGCACACTGTGTTACACACCAGGGTCGGGAGTATCAGCACGCAGTCAGAATTCCTTTGCTGTCGATGTTGGAGGCCCCATTGCACGTTCTCTCACACCGAAGGACTTGTCCTCATCAGCCCAAAGCCCTAACCTTCCCTGGGGGCACCTTTGTATAAGATTTGGAAAACCGTCCTCAGTCCTCCACCGATCCCAACAGGAGTCCCCAGCTCTCTGTGGAAGATGCAGGAGAAGCACATCGATCTTCATTAGCGGATGCTATTGGTCAATGGATCGACTTTCACGGATCCCTGAAGCGCTACATGGCGCTCCCGCAGTAGAAACAAGAGTGCGCCCTGCATGCCGATTACAGTGACCAGACCATTAAGACCTCTTTACAGGACGAAGAAGGCTGCTGGGCCTAAAGAAAAGGTTCTGTTCCAGAAACAAAAGAAGATTTCTCCCACACATTAAATCACATGCTGATCAGTTGTGTTTCCACTGCTGATGCCTACAGTGAAGTCGCTGCTCTTTCTGCAGAGTAGCCCTTATAATTGAGGCCTGTATTTCCTGCACACATTTCCAAGAGTACTGAGGGATTCTTTCTGCCTGGTAAATTGAAAGCACTTCACGCTTTTTGTAGAAGTACCGGTAAATCACTTAGTATTGCCATACCAGCCTTGAGGCATGGAATCTTTATTTATTCTGCACATCATAATCACATTACATTAAACCAGATGTCTTAAAGGGAAAGCAGCAGAGAGATAAATACACTTTGTGAATGAAGGCTGTAATTTATACATATTCTCTCCTGCCCAATAGCAGGCTGCTTAAGCAATCGATTAAAAGTGCTTCGTAGTCTGAACCATTTCCATGGATTCATAACAGCCATCTTGTACATTCTGTGTTCCCCTAAGTATATATTTACGGCATCCAGTAGTAATCGGCAGTTGTTTGTGGTAACACAGGCCCAGGGCCTCAGCTGGAACGCTTACAGGGACGGCTAAGGGATTCCCTGCACGTCCGTTCTGTTGCTTACTCGGCTGCTTTTGCTGAGATATAGGTTATTTGTATGCAAGTTACTGATATTGAGATTCCCTAATCATCTGAAGCATTTAAGTGCTCATGCTTTGATTAGCATAACGGCAGAAAACAGTCGACTCCTGTCAGCTTATCAGGGTCTGTTTGCTGTTTCCTTCGTACAGGGCAGCTGAGATACAGGTTCCCTAGAATATGAAAGCAGAAGTTCTAGCTCCATGCTGATAAAGGGGCCGCATGTAAGCAGAGCTGCAGAGCCGCGCTCTGGTGTACAGTGGACTGCTGTGTTTTTACATGCAGTGAGAACCATGAAAACTGAATTGCCCCTCTTTGGCCTGTGGGCTCGTTCATTCTGTGTGTGCGTGGGTTTGTATTTGCCACATTGCGGGGACCAAATATCATCAATATGGTAAAACCTGTTGCAGCCAGTTCCCAGGTTATGAACGAGATACATTCCTTAAGTCTGTCTTTAAGTCGTTGTAGGTAAGTTGGAACAATAATAGTACAGCCCATAATAATTATTATACAATGATAATAAAAGTATCTACGTACACTACTGAACAGGGATTGCATGTACTTTTTAAGTTATAGGGACATTTTTCAGGTCCCCACAATATAAACCTCAATTTTATAAAGATGAATAGAGAGTTCCCACAATAATAGGACTGTATGAACTGTGTCTGCGTGTGGGTGTGTAGTTTGAAGGTTGACTTCCTCTCTCAGGCACCGTGGATGCATCACTGCCGCCTTAGGTCATGGTCTTGGGCTAAAACTGTCTTATCTGAAAGATACGGTATTACAAAATGTTCTTCGGTTTGCGTGACAGTTTTTCTAGCAACTCTAGCAACTGATAAATCATCTGCTCCACTCTGTTTCGAACAGGAACGTGATGAAGAAAATGTGCAGTTCTTGCGCTTTTTAAACGGGAACACAAACTTAACATACTGCTGTGGTTCTGCTGTGATGAGCAGCCTTGTGTTTTGATTGGTGGAAAGAGCGTGTGACTTAGTGAAGGCATTACTCTCCCCCCCCCCCCCCCCCCCCATTTCCCCTGATGAGTTTGTCACATTCGGCAAGCAAGGTGCCCATTACGGACTGTGTTTTTTCTATTTGTGTTGGTAGGTCTTTTCCTGTCAGTTTATAATCATCTAATTAATGACAAGCTAAAGCTAGTGGTCATTTTGACAGACCCCTGGCTTATTTAACAGATATGTTCTTTTAGGGACTTCTGTTGTGATGGTTCCACACAGCTGGTAGCCTTGTCAGTGCAGACAACGGCCCTCACTTTCTAATTGCCTTGAGGAAGCAAGAACCATCAGTCTCAGACATTCTGTGTGTGAGCACCTTCACCACATGACCTCAGACTCGTCTTTTCTGCAGTTTATCGCTTTCCACCCACAGCCCTGTCCTCTGGCATCCAGTAGCAGCTCTTTGGAGAGCCTTTGTGGTTAATCGTGTAACGTTGCTGAGGTTGAGCCACGCTGGTTGTTAGTCTTTGACGCGTATGTTGCAGATGCTTTTATCTGAAGTCCCTACATTTTTGAGAAGGTTAGGGTCAGCCAGTCCCAGAAGGAGCAAATAAGGGTTAAGGGTCTTGCTCAAGGGCCCAATGGTGAAATAATTCTGGGATTTGACCCAGCGAACTTCTGGCCCCAGGTGCACTATTCCAACCCACACCCCCAAGCTGCACACCAGCAGGAGCTGGGGTCTGTCAAGTGTTTCTGGGAACAGTGCTGAAGACCTCGCATTAACTTACAAATGCGAACTGAAAAGGCATCCCGATCCTCAGACTGTTACAAGTGCTTATAACAAGTGATGCTCTGGGGAAACATGTATCTAGTTTCTAAACTTCTTATAATTTCTCCAATTTATTTCGCCTTACATTTTGCCAGAGTAAATGAGATTCAGTCCCTTGCTACAGGGCTGAGGTGTTACCTTGTTCATCATGCTTCTTGCTGTTCTCATGGTTTGTGATGCATCTCAGCATGTTCTTCAGGGTTTCGGCGTCTCTCTCGTTCTCCGTCTCCGCAGGTCGCACTGAGAAGCGCTTCACCATGCCTGACTCACCTGCGGATGTGAAAATACAATCCAGGTTGACTCCACCCACGATGCCACCTCCTCCATCCACGCAGGGAGCTCCGAGGACCAGCTCCTTTACCCCCACAACATGTGAGTCTATGCCCTTTAAGACTTTTCTGCTTTTCTGCCTACTTTAGCACATAACAATATAAGATGCGCTATTTATCACGCATACAGCTTCATGTACATAGAGGAACCGACATGCGAGGAAGTGATGCAAAAGCAGCAGCTATATCTGTTCAGGCTGACCCTGGGGCTTCCAGTCCTGCTTGTAGAGAAACAAGGGCACTTTGAAAACAGGCGCTTCTGATCAATTCTGATGGTCTAACCAAGCAAGCGCTTTGATTTTCCTCCATGTAATTGTTAGCAGATGTAGTTGGAGAATTTCGTTTCCGGGGGCTTGAACATGCAGCCTGATCTCATTAAAAATGCACATTTCCTTCACTTCATGTGTTTTTTTCATGCGTAGTAATTTGTATGTGCTTGTCTACATCAAGGGCCGTTCCGTTTAGTTATATGGAAGTTCAGCGTCTCTCTTCCTTTTCTTATCTTCTTCTCAGTAACTAATGGCACGAGCCACTCTCCCACTGCGCTCAACGGCGCCCCATCTCCGCCCAACGGCTTCAGCAACAGCCCTTCCTCATCCTCTTCATCATCTCTGGCCAACCAGCAGCTGCCGCCAGCCTGCGGCGCCAGGCAGCTCAGCAAACTCAAGCGATTCCTGACCACCCTGCAGCAGTTTGGCAACGACATTTCCCCCGAGATCGGAGAGCGGGTCCGCACTCTGGTGCTGGGCCTCGTGGTGAGTCAGATCCCTGCATGTGGGGCTGCCAGGGCCGCGTGCCTCTGTGCCAGACTCATGAACGCAGTGCTGAACACGTAACTGCAAAGTCCTGCAGGCTAGCTGATGTTTCACTGGAGAAGTTTAGATTAATCACCACAGCAGGACTGCTGGTAGAATAATGGCTTAATACGTGAAAGTCCAACGCTGCCATAGTAGCTGTGAGCAGCTGTCAGATTAAATGAGTCTATTAAAGTTTAAGGTGGTAACTGAACATCAGCTTGTATCCCTTTCCAAGCATATGAAGTATCGGCAACTGATCCTGCTTATTACCAGAAGTCAGCGACCTGCCTTGGAATCCATGAATGTCAAATTGCTAGCTGTAATCTTCACTGGAGAAGAGATCTTAACTGGAAGAGTAGTGATCTTAACTGGAAGAGCAGTGATCTTAACTGATGAAGATGCAATTAACTGGAGGCTTTAACTGTTAGTCACCAATTCAAACAAGGCTTCACTGTGTAATTACAGAGAGCGTGAATAATAATAATAATAATTCTAGAGGAATTAATAACATTAATAATTGAATTTCTGTTTGCTGCTGTTGTTCTCTCTTTGTGCAAAGGTTTTAGAGAACACCCTCCTCTCCCTCACTTCTGGCTTTATTGTAAGGAGCGAGGCATGTAATTAGCACTCACGTTGCAAACGGGGGACTCAGGAGGGCTTGCCTTGCTGTCAGACAGGCTCCTGCAATCTGGGGGAACAGATGTAAGAGGAATGCAACAAAAATCAGTTCTGAAAAATAAGACAGAGCTGTGCAACCGGCCACTGCGGCATCTCTTTAAGGACAAAAGAACGATAAGCTGTGAACTATCTGACTATCTGAAAGGCGTCTGTCGGCCGGGCCTAAATTTGACTGGAGTCTAATTATCGGTTAGCAATATCGACCAAGAATCAGACCATTATAGACGTCTTGATTTTTACCGAACATTGGTCGTGCATCTCTGATTGACGTGGCCACTGTACACTGAGTCACACTTGTGTGCTGATGCCCAGTGATGTCCAGTGATGTCACAGAGATGCTCAGTGTTTGTACACACAGAAGGACCATAACGGAGCCTCTGCACTCGCATAAGCCCCCCTGGGTGTCCTACCTTCAGCCGGATGTTGTTTCACTTCCTGCTTAATGTGTTCCATGTGTATTCATGTTGTTCCTTTTCTGACCCCCCCCCCCCCCTCAGAATTCTACCCTGACGATAGAGGAGTTCCACTCCAAACTGCAGGAGGCCACAAACTTTCCACTGCGACCTTTCGTCATCCCGTTCCTGAAGGTACAGCATGAGCCGCTGACCTGGAAACCATCTGCGCTGTGAAGCTGCAGCCCAGATGTGCATGTCTGAAAGATCAGTGCATGGGACGGAGGAATGAGGGGCCGTCCACAGGCCAGAAATCTGTGAACTGCCCCTCCGCTGAAATCCCGGGTTTGTTTTAAATGGTAAAATGTGCTTTGAACTCGCTCATAATTCCGATGCTAAATTGATGCTGGGGAATTTCCCGTTCAGTGCTGGATTTCTCATTTGTGAGAGATGTGCTATCCATTGCCCTCTGTTTTTTGGTAATTGACCCTCAAAAGACATTTTAGCACAAAACATGAAATCTATGAAACTACACTGTCTTGTGAAATTAAACACAATACATAAGGTGCATTTTAAATGTATTTTACCTTAAAATTTTTAATCAGTTTAACTAATTTTATTTCATACAATTCTTCATCGACCTCTAAGAACTATATTTGATAGTCTATAGACTTCTAAAGACAGCATACGACAGTCCAAAGACCTCGAATGACAGTGTCAGTCAGTCTGTAGACCTCTAAGAACAGCCTACGACAGTACATAGACCTCGAAGGACAGTGTATGTCAGTCTGTAGACCTTTAAGAACAGCGAATGACAGTCCATAGACCTCGAAGGACAGTGTATGACAGTCTGCAGACATCTAAGAACAGTATACGACAGTCCATAAACCTCGAAGGACAGTGTATGTCAGTCTGTAGACCTCTAAGAACAGCGAACGACAGTCCATAGACCTCGAAGGACAGTGCATGACAGTCTGCAGACATCTAAGAACAGCATAAGATGTTTCTTTTTCCTGTTTTTCAGTTTAATTTCCATTTATTTGTCTTTCTTTCTCCCATTTGTTTCATATTTGTTTTCCTCTTTTCCTTCTCTTTTTGTTCTTTCTTCCCCACAACCCCCCCCCCCCAGTCGAGACAGATAATCGGTTTCTGCTTCACTATGGAGTTATTTAAAGAAACGGCACCAGACGGGTCCTTGCTCCTCTGGCTACCTGACAGTGTCTCTCGGGGCATGCTGGGAAATTGCTCCCTTTGGGGGTCAGTCCTGCAGCTCAGGGGTCCCAAAAGCCATATGCCTGCTTTATCATAGAGGCAGGATGGGGATGGTCCAATCATAGGCTGCTTTTTTCCCTGTAATTTGGTGCTTTTCTTCTGATGACAGCTTCCATATGGCTCTCATAAATGCTACAGTGTGTGTGTATGCCTGTACGGCATCCAGAACTGAAGCCGGTGTGTTCTTTGTGGAGCTCCTTCTTCTGTATTGTGAGGAGTTGCTAGTGTGTCTGAGGATCAAATGCACCATAATATGCTTTAAATACTTAAAGTAAAAAAAGGTAATTTTGTCACATACATCCTGACGTGCTTCGTTGTGTTTTGTGATTTGAATAATGTCCCCTCTTTCGACAATGCAGCACATATATTCCATTCAGCATCAGAAGTGTTTTGGCGTTACAGGCGGATTGTAAACTGTAAGAAAATGTGGAGGCATTAGAAAAAGGAGCGAGTCTTGCCACAGCCCTCAGCACTGGTGCAGGGCTAGTGGGCGTATCATCGTCGGCTCGGCTGATTTATCGGAGAGTCAATTGAGAGGAATTCATTTTGACAGGAGGATTTTACATGGTGACAAAAAGGTGCGATGAGTGGCTTATGCGGGACAGTATAACCCCATCGCACTATGGCACTAAAGTATTCAATTCCCAGACCTGTGTTGGCTATAGTCAGGCAAAAAAAAAAACCTCAGATAATCATTCAAGCCTTTAAAACAATTTGTATTTGTATGTTCTGAATCTCACTGCCTGTTTGCTTTGTGGGAGCAGCCTGTTCTAAAGAGATCCGTCCCATATTCAACGTGCGCGAGTGCTTTGATGGTTCGTGGTCCTCAAGACATAGCGCTGAGGAAGAGGACCCCCTGAACTGTCATTAAAGCCCAATGGCGCCATTTCCAGTGGTGCCCTCCACCATTAGGAAGTACTAAGAGCCCTGCTGTCCTCGCACTGTAATGGAAACCTTTCATCTGCTGTAAAAATACTTGAGGGAAGGACTTTGAACTGGCACACTTCAGCATCTCTCCCGAGGGTTCCGTGCACAGTTACCTCCTTGTGAGCGCAAACAAGATGGTCCACTTCTGAGAAGGAGGGCACTTACCTGGCTGCCTGCTGCTTCCAGAAAGATCGAGCCAGACTTGTGGGGGGGTGGGTGGGAGATGAGTAGAAATGATGCTGCGACACAAAATAACACAACATAAAAAGCAACGACATCCATACAAAATGGGTAAAAACTGTGAAAGACCATAAGCTTGTAAATAAATGATTTTTTCAAAGATGTAAAGGCTCGTAGCCAAAATGAGGTAAAAGGGTTAGGTAGGAAATGACCTGCTAATGCATCAAGACACTGAGTGTTACATGTGAAGACCCAGCTAGAATCAAAAACCTATGTTCTGTCATAGGCCAACTTGCCCCTCCTGCAGAGGGAGCTGTTGCACTGTGCCCGGCTGGCAAAACAGAATCCAGCCCAGTATCTGGCCCAACATGAGCAGCTTCTCCTGGACACCAGTACCACTTCGCCTGTCGACTCGTCTGAGCTGCTGCTGGATGTTAATGAGAACGGCAAGAGGAGGACGCCGGACAGGTAAGCGGAGCTTCCCGGATGGCCGACCGCCAAACGGCCATTTCGGTTATAGTGTGGATGTGATACTGACACATGCTGGTAAATTCACTCTTCGCTCTGTTGAGCTATTCTGTAAAATCTTATCAGGCTATAAGATTCCAGTTGAATGGCAGACGAAGGAGCTACACCATTTCCTTACGAACCAGACAAAAATCACTGCCCCCCTCCCAAATTCCTATAGATACCGACCCCTCAGAAGGGCACTCCAGTCGCTCGGCCTAAATCCCAAACCGTCGTTACCAACCTCGTGTCATGGTTCATTGAGTTTCATAGGTTCTCCTTAATGGAGTAGAAGCAGATGTTTCTGGAGATGTGTGAGTGTTGCCAAGTGGCTGGATGCCTCAGTCAGACCTTCATCCACCTTAGGAATCGCGGTCTGCTGGAAGTTCACTGAGGTGCCCCAGCTGCTGAGTGCATATTTCAAGGGACTTTGCATTGTGAATTTTCAGTATAGTAGGGCAGTATGAACCTGAGACAAAAATGCAGGAAGAGACAAAACAGGGTTAAAGATGTACTGTGGGATAAGAGAGATGTGGCAGCAGAGGCTGAACCCTGGGACAGGAATCCCAACATTGAGGGGCATCGCTCGTGTGTCTCGGAATGCCGGGAAAAGCGTCCGGGGATCTTCCGAACGAGGCTCCTGGAGAGCATTAAGTGAAACCTGCGCAGTTTCCCTGGGAAGAAAGCACTTTCAGAACAAGTACGTGATGTTAATGAGGACCTCCTTGGGTTACAGGGACCTTTTTTTTGTGATTTCTGCATATTTGTGACATCTGAGGCATCCCAGGAGTGAGCCTGGGGAAATGCAGGATACACGGGCTGATCTGGCGATCTGCCTCCGTAAGCTTTTCTTTTCTGCTTAGCTTTGCTTTGCATTGTTATCGGAAAATTTCCGATGCGTGGATTTCAATGGGAAACACTAGTCTTAATCAAGGGGCACGATAGGCCATCATGTCCCTCTGATTAATATGGAAGGCGCTGGAAAATATGCACCGTGGATGCTGAACACGAGCATTTTCTGAATTAAAAACGCAGGTGACGTATTTCCGATCTTTTGTTTTTTGTTTTTTTTTTGAGAATGCCGTCGTCTGCTGTGTTTGTGCAGTAGATTTATAATGAAGCTACATGCATTGGAAGGAATGGCAGTGATTTCAGGAACTGTGAACTTTGAAGCCGCTCAAACCCAAGACATGGCTGAACCTGTCATGACCTCACACCGCATACCGTGATACAGTAACCCTAACCCGCCGCTGGGATTAATGCCTTGGTTCTTCCATCTCTATGGTAGATCTTGATATTTGGGGCTCAGGTCTTATTTGGAGCATGAACCATCGACAGTAGGTGACAGTGAAGGCTGCGTGGTCTTTGAGAACACTGGAAAGATCTCTAGAAGGTTCCCATTGCCTCTGAGGCTCAGGGCTGGAGCTCTACCCTTGATGGACAGGGAAGCACCTCAGCTCACCGTCCTGCCCTCTGCAGTGACATCAGAGTCATGCTCCCAGAGACTGATGCCCTCATTATCTAGCAGCTGTTTTCAAAGCGCAGCACTTTAACACTATTCCTCGGGACTCCGGCCGGCTTCCGCGACTGAGGTTCTCGCCATCCTTTCCCTCTGCTGCAGAACCAAAGAGAATGGCTTTGACCGTGAGCCCCTGCACCCAGAGCATCCAACCAAGAGACCCTGTACCGTTAGCCCCGGGCAGCGCTACAGCCCTAGTAACGGGCTGCCCTACCCGCCCAATGGGCTGGCCCACCCCACGCCACCAGCACCACAGCACTACCGGCTGGACGACATGGCCCTGGCACACCACTACAGAGACTCCTACAGGCACAGCAGCCCCCGCGACCTCAGAGAGCGTGCCAGGCCCCTGGGTAAGACCACCGCCATGGGGTGTTACTCAGCATGCATACTTGACCGTACTCGTGTTCCCGTGTACCTGTTTTATGTCATCTTCCACTGCCGAAGACCTGTTCCAATACTCAAGAACAGAAGTGCAGAGGACAGTAAAAATCCCCAGATGTCATTCTTGCCCCGCCCCCAAATATCAAGGATACATTGCTTACAGCCTTGCTAAACGAGACCAATCCCATGATTCATTGTGGCCCAAGTTCATTCGTTCTAAGCCAACTTAGCAAGAACGGTCTTGCCAAGATCAGAAGTACAATCTTTGCGCTCTTGGTATTGAGAAATACCCATGCTCTCTGGGTTGATCCGTGAACAACTGAAATTTCACACGAGTCACTCGAAGGACAGTGTACGGTTGTAAACCCAGAACTAAATGCAAATGAGCCTCATGGCTGAAGTGTGTTCCACTGATATATAGTCCACTGTCCAGAACTTTATTTGTACTGTTTACATAAAAGAAAAAAGAAAAAAACGTAAATCCAATCCAGTGATTAAACACAAAGTTTAACTGAGTTTAACTGAAAGCCATTTCGATTCACATCCAACGCGGTCAGAAAAACCACGCGGCTCCACGCCACCACCTCACTAACCTAACCGCTCTGCACCAGTCTCACGTTAATTAACATACTATGCTGTGTACTTCTTAAAGAGACAGCGTCCACTTAAACACAGTATGTTTAACTAATTTAAGTTATCAATCTAAACCTTTTCAGTACAATACAATATTGTACATACAATAAGAAGAACAAAATACAAAATTGCAAAATACACATGTTTAAAATATATAAGTTTTCCATGGATAGGAGACATGTTGCTCCTACAGACAGGTTCAAGGTCAAATGCACAACAGAGCACTAACACGTAGACGCAGACTGACGTACATGTCAGAAGGGCTGGGCAAGTAATCAAATTTTAATTTCAATTTACGATATTGGCTTTCAACAATTATCAAAACAAAATAATCGAGATAAAATGATTATTGTGCCACGTTTCATTTCACAAAGATGCTCTTTTGTATTGTGTTATGAATCCAGCGCAGCCATAAACGAGTTCAAGGAAATCCACTGTTAAAAAGACAAGTTTTTTCTTTTAAAAGTTCAAATAATGCATGATATTTCCAAAGTCAATGAGTAATCGTGTTAAATAACCGTGATCTCAATATTGACCAATACAATTGTGATCATGATTTTTGCCACAAACAAACAGTTCTACACAGCTGTGGGATGAAGGGTCAGGCCATGACTGGGAGATGGGGGTTTATTGCGGGCTCAGGTGACCTGTTTGAGAATGAACCTCCCTCCCCCTTGCAGCAGGGATGCACAGCACTCGGCAGCACGAGGAAGTGGTGGACCACAGACTGACGGACAGGGAATGGGCCGAGGAATGGAAGCACCTAGACCATGTAAGAAAAGTAATAAGACCTTCTTTACTCAGACCTTTACAGACCTTCCCCTGTAACCGTAGAAGGACTCCCCCCCCCCTCCCCGTAATGTGATAGACCTTCCCTGTCCCTCATTCCACAGCTTCTGAACTGCATTATGGACATGGTGGAGAAGACACGCCGCTCGCTCACTGTGTTGCGCCGCTGCCAGGAGGCCGACCGCGAGGAGCTCAACTACTGGATCCGGCGTTACAGCGACGCGGAGGAGCTGAAGAAAGGCAGCGGCAGCCAGTCCCGGCAGCAGAGCCCAGCCAGCCAAGAGAGCTCCACTCCAGGTACCCTGCTGAGAACATCAGGAGCACAGGGGGCTCCTACTCTGCTCCTATCTGAGAATCATACTGAGTCCTAGCCAGCTGGCTGCCCTTCATGATGGTCCTGTCCTGCAGTGGGAGTGATGTTGGATTAATCTGACATATTGGCGACCTTCTGTCCTTGAGAAAGGCTAGACATGCTTGCAACTGGTCTTGGTTATCCATGGAAGAGAAGCACTTAGATTTTGGATTGTTATACCGACGTTAGCCAACACTAGGTCAAGCCATTGGTTTTCCTTGGGCTCTGGATTAGTTAGCTGACCAGTTAATGATTCACTTAAACTTGTATCACGAGAGTGAACTTGGAGTTTTAATAAACATATTTTTTTTGATCTTGTAGAACTTCACAGGGAGCTCCTTCACAGACCAGTGTCAGGATACGTGCCTGAAGAGATCTGGAAAAAAGCTGGTGAGATTTGTGCCTCCAGAAGACTCTCTCGGATGAGAGTTTCTCTGATAGGTTAATGAGTGTAGGAGTATAGTGTGTGACTACAAGATCTGAGTGTAAAACTGTATTGTTTAAGTATGAGGTCTGAGTATTAAAGTATAGTGTGTGAGCATTGGTAGTTATATTTAGAGTCACAAGCTTAATTTCATTACAAACAATAGAAGGTGCCTCTATTCTCCATTTGCACTGCGTTTTCTCACCATTTGCTGTTGCTTAGCAATTGTGCAATATTTACAGTTGGCAATAAATATTCAAGCACAATGTGTTACCAGTTCTCATTTACTGAAATGCATGCACCTCTGGGACCATAATAGTAATGCATAATTTGAATATAAATTGCCTTATTTACATATACAATTAGCAGAGCTTCAGCCTTGATCAGAGCACAGAACTATTGTCCTGTTGCCATTCCAAGGGAATTCTAATTCACCTTGATGTAAAATTCAAAGTGAAATGTATTCAGTCTACTCTTTAAAGCTTTTCATTCACAGACATGAATTGATGCTGTATATTCGTAGATTTGGCTTGCGCAAAATAACTTCATATAAATTAAGTTTGGCTTTCACGATTAAAGAAACTTCTGATGAAAAACAAAAGGTAAACAATGATCCAATTAATTTTTAATGAAAATAAATATTTATAAACATGAGATGCGCTGAAGATACTTTACAGTGGATGAAACCATTTTTCTTTGTATCACTTCAAAGAAACATGCCACAATTAGCTTAAAAGGGTGTTAATTTGACACTGTATTTGCCAAGTCAATAATTGCTGCTTATTTGGTTCTATATTAATTATCCTTAATTTGTTCTTTTGTTTTGTGTTAAATGAGCTGGATAAGTGGAGTGATACAGAGCCGGTTTGCCACCATCGCTAACTCTAGTGTCCCTTGTGCTGCTGCGTGAGGGGCTCCGTGTTACTCATCCTGAATGGTCAAAGCGTGACGGATTCTGGGTAAGGTGTGTCCTCCTCCCCCAGAGGAAGCTGTGAACGAGGTGAAGCGGCAGGCCATGACGGAGCTGCAGAAGGCCGTATCGGAGGCGGAGCGCAAGGCCCATGAGATGATCGGCACGGAGCGGGCCAAGATGGAGCGCACGGTGGCGGAGGCCAAGCGGCAGGCAGCCGAAGATGCACTTTCAGCCATCAACCAGCAGGAGGACTCCAGCGAGGTGGGAGTGCTGGCCGCTTCTGGGCCTCTTCTCTAACCATCTGACGATCCTTAAAGATGGGATTGGCCCAAATCCCAACCAATGAGTAAGCTGTTAGGTTCCCTTCTAATGTTAATGACATGATGATGTAGTGTTTTACGCACTGGGCATTACGTCACATCTTAACGTAACGAAAACATGAAATGTGCTGGAGGCAAATTGCATATGTGCATAAGAATGACAAGTAAGAAAAGGACGTTGGGTTTTTATCCTTTAGCAAAGGTAGCTGTTAGACCCAAAGCAGTGTTGAGCTTTGAGAGTAGTGAGCCAGTCAATTTTCTTAGGCTGAAAATACCTTCACTGGGTGAAACGAGGACTCATTCAGGTCAGCCTACCACTCCAGTCATGCTGAGACATGAAAAGGCTTCGCTTTTACTTAAGGACACTGGCTGTTTCATTCTTATAACTCACATATTTTTATTATATTGATTATATTCTACTGGCCCTCTACGGTATTTAAGAATAAAATAAATGCACAGGTAGAATTTCTAGTCCATCTTTTCCAGTATACAATACTCTAGAGGGGCAAACCTAAATCCATCTCTGCTGCCCCCTGTGTAGAGCTGCTGGAACTGCGGGCGCAAGGCCAGCGAGACGTGCAGCGGCTGCAACACGGCGCGCTACTGCGGCTCTTTCTGCCAGCACAAGGACTGGGAGAAACACCACCACGTATGCGGGCAGACTTTACAGGCCCAGTCGCAGGGGGACGCAGCCTCGGCCACGCCCAGCAGCAGCGCGGGCAGCCCGGGGGAGACCCCGACGACCGCCACGCCACGATCCGCCACGCCACGATCCGCCACGCCGGGGACGCCCTCCGCCACAGAAGCCACCGCGCGCTGAAAGATAGCCGACAGAACTGTTTGATCAAAGGCGAAAGTAGCACTACAAGCAGAGACTGGTGCAGTACGAGCAGGAGACCTGGAACATGTCATATTGACTTGTTCTGATTAAGAATACAAAGATATTCTTTGTTTTTATTATTGCCATTATTGTTACACTCGATGTCATTGTTGTCGTCGTTGCTGTCGTTGCTGTTATTATTGTTGTTGTTTTAACGCTTGTAAATACAAAAGAAGATACCAGAGAATTGCAAATGACCTCCCCCCGCCCCGTTCCAGTAGCTGAGATGTGAAACTAGTTGACCTCAAAAATATACGCTTTACTGAACAGCAAATCAAGGGATTATTAATTGCTGTTGAAAGCAAGACTGCTAGTATTTCATGTGATTAAAAAGACACGTCTGATTCGGGTGTGGAATGAAGTGCAGAGGAAGAAGCGCAGGACTGCCGGACGGGGTGAGAAGATTAACAGTCTGAGAGAGAAAAGACGAGAGCGACAGCACTAGCAAACGCATCGCGTTCTGCATCCTACTTCGTCCTCCGCGTCCATCTGTGAAGTGATGCAGTGGAACATCTGCCAGCCACACGCCCCTTTCTGACCCCATGCAGGTGAGAGCCTGACACCTTGCCGAAGCTTTGCACCTGGTGAAGGTAAAGTGCTGAAGATGGACGCAGTTCAGCCTCCCCCAGCCAGGGGCGCCCTTCGTTTTTTTCTGTTCTCGGTGTGTTGAATAAAAGAACACCGTTCTCCCATGCGGTTCCCACTAGTGCTGTAGTGTATGTGTGCTGGACAGTCGTGAAGATGCTAGTAGCTTAATTCCTCCCCACACTTTAGCTTCCTTATTCCTAGTCTTAATCTCTGCGGGCTGCTTTTATATCTGTTTGTATAAGTGATAGTTCTCCCGTAGTTCAAAAAGAAGGAAGAAAAACGTCTTTGTTGTACTGAAGAAAAGGCAGGATCTGTCTTTGCGAGCTGCTACGGCCCGGCACTCCACGTGTCCCCGAGGACCGGCATGTTACATGGAATGCGATCATACGTGTTTGGTACATAAATGTATTTGCACTGTCTCTAAGCTATCTGAGCATGCTTCTTTCAGTATAGAGCCATTTCTCGCTGGTTTTACCTGTAGGTGTTACTGTACCTGTGATTTTTGTTCTGTTAAAAAAGGGAAGAACAACCCCATTTTTGGTAATGGATGTTTTCTGAAGGTGATACATTATGATTTTAATTTTTTTTTCTTTTTTTTTTTTTAACGAAGGACAGTGCATGGACATTGCTAAACGTTTCTTAAATGTTGTTTTTTTTTTTTAAATAAATGCATAAACTTAAAAAAAAAAAGCTAAGAAACTAAGGTTCCAAATGCAGAGGTTTAGATAGAGAGCTTTAACAGCAGAGTGGCAGGTATCACAGTGTTACAAAGGAGCTCGTCGCAGATGTCGGCCAAAGACGGATATGAAGGACCAAAATCGCATTTATTCAGAAGAGATCGGTTCAGACGCACGACTCTATACTTTGTTTTATCCAAGCTATCATCAGGTCGAAGTAGCTGTGGCAACGTTATCATGAAAACCTTCAACCATTTGCTGTCCAGAACGAAGTAAAACAGCCTGTCGGGCTTTAAGGAAACAGCTCCACCTGGATCTTTTACTTTCATTTCTAAAAAGCAATAAGACTAAAGGTAGCATAAATATAGTTTAAAGAAGACACATCCAGTTAATTCATATAAAAGATTCCGTTCAATGAGAAATCACTTCCGCTTTACCTTTCAGGTGTTAATGCTTTATAATACAGTTCATAGCTTTGGGTAGTACCTGCAGGACCATCGTTTACGAGGAATTTAATTATTATTACCGAAACGATGCTGAAAAACAAACATCCTCGGCTCTCTTTAGACCATAGACTTAAAAAGAGAATAGCAGATCTAAGGAATGGGCGCATTTTTGAGCACTTAATTCTCGCTCCTCAACAGCAGAAGATCGTGGTGCTAAACGACGTATGTGAGAAGACTGACCTCTCGCGAGTGGATGATTATGTCTGATTATGGGCGTATGTTCAAGACTCTAAAGGGTTAAATAATCCAAAAAGAGTGTGTGACACTCAGTAACGTTTCCTCAGAAGCTGTGATTATATGTGAAACGGCAAAGCTGTTTTAACACTAGTGTATTGTATTTGAGAAATAATAATAAAAAAAAAAAGATTAGTGTGTCATGTTGCTGCATTTCAGGGCACCTTGGGTAAAACAAAAGAAGAAAGAAAAAAAAACAGTGAATAACGACAAACTTTTCTGATGCTCTATCTCCTCCTCTTCTACTTCTGTTTTACTGCAATCTCCTCAGTGGCTAAAAGTCTCACTCTACCTCTGACAGCAACCTTTAGCACCAGTCGCTGAGCAGAAGCTGGTCTAGACAAACCAAATGGTCACGAGAGAACCGGAGAAACCAAATGGCTGAAGCTGCAGAAGCTGGAAAACCATATCACTACTTGGTAACAATGCAGACCTCATAAAGCATAGACGAAATGAGAAGACATGTTTGTTATGTTCCTTTTACGCTTATTACTTAAACAGATCGCATTGAATCGTGATAGGAATAAGTCAAGAAACGGCAGTGACTTAAAACGAGTGTTGACTCCATGTTATAATCCAGACGGTGACCGCGGACGAGGCGCGTGCTCCCTCACCTCTCTCTCCTTGTCTCTGTGACCTTCTAGGTCATCTGTCTGCGTTCTCAAGATTCATGTCTTGGGGACTTGTGGCAAGATGCTTTTTAAAAGTACGAGTCAGTCAGTGTGACACATGCCAGTAATGACAGTACATGGGGGGGGGGGGGGGGGGCAACACGCCTTTTCCTGCATGTAAAACAATAAGAGTGGAATAAGGTTTAAGGGGTTAAACTGAGAACTGAGGTGGTTTTGTTTGGGGCGGGGGGGGTGGGGGGTCCCGTCAGTTGTTAATGGAAGTTGTGCAATACTGAAGTGACGTGAGCAGCGGGTCGAGCGTGAAGCCACCTCTGGATCCTCCTCCGATTTTAAGTCGACTATGTTGGAACTGTGGTTTCTTGTTTATTCCTTGTTTTTTTTTTTTCATTTTTATTTTGACTGTAATGTATGGTCTGTCAACCTGTGAATCTCATGATGAGTATGACTCTGATATTGTTGTATTCCGTACTGTGTAATAAATACGTTCATAACATCTGGATTCTCTGCGGCTCCCTGTTCTGTCGCCCACGGTCCCGCCTTCTCTCCCATATTGCCATTTCCAGCACTTTCCGTCAATGCGGGTGAAACAGAGTCTGCATATTAAAGCTCCGCGGGCTTTGTTTTGTGTTGCTCTCGTTCGCATTGCAGAAAAAGGCGGCTCTTTCTCTGTGGATGCAGTTCTTAGGGGTACGTTTGCTGAAAGTCCACCTCCCTCTGTTTGCAGCGAGAGTGAGTGTGTCAGCATAATGCAGTTAACAGAGCCCCCAGTAACAAAAAGCCTTTTATTTTACATATTCTGATTCAGTTTCCACCTTCATAGTATGGTTCAAGTAAAAATTTCTCCTGGAAACCTCAGCTTAATCACATTCTTTATTACTGACATAATGGAAGCCTTTTCCCTGATCTCATTACCTGAACAAATGGACTGCAGGTTACAAGTTTCAATTTTTATTGTTGCATGAGTTCTGAGGAACTCGGTGAAATTTTTGTGCTACGGTTGCAGGGTAGGGGACAGGGACAGGGACAGGGACAGGGACAGGAACAGGTGTGTGGGGGAACAATAGAACCAGCAATAGTGCAAATAAGGGTGTTAGTTAACCCATCCTTCTTTTTGAGAGAATGTATCTGTCAGCATTTATCATTTTATTTATCTTAATTTTTTCATCCATCCATCCATTTTCTCAAACCACTTATCCTATTCAGGGTTGCGGGGGGTCCAGAGCCTATTCCGGAAACTACGGGCACAAGCCAGGATGGGGCGCCAACCCATCACAGGGCACACTCACACACGCACACCTACACACAATTTGCACACCTACACACACGTACACTCACACACGCACACAATTTGCCAACTCCAATTAGCCTCAGCGTGTTTTTGGACTCTTAATTTATCTTTTTATTTAATTAATCCATTTTTTTATGAACACGAACATTTCATTTCAGCGCTGAGGGGCTCTTTCTCTGTTTCTCCTCAGCTCGGTCTGTCGCCATTTTCGGGGGCCGGCTGAAAGGTTTCCACGAGTCTGTTTCCAAAGTGGCATCATTTCTGCCGAGAGCTTTAGCTAAGATAGGAGCATTGTCATAACTGCAGGAGGAACATTAAAACTTTTGCGTGCTTCTGCTTTGAAGAATTCCCAGAGCGCATACAGCAGGCAGCAAGATCACTGTAATGGGCATCATTTCCTAGCATCCAAACCTGCTCTTTGGATAATGTGCCTCTTACTGCCTTATGGATCCTCAAAGTAAAACTGCTCAGATCCCATCAGCACCCAGACCCCTCCTCATATGAAAAAGACACTATTATACACACAACAGAAAACATTATTCCGGTGAGATCCCCAGACTCGTGCCCTCCCCTACAGGGCATTCTGGGGCTTTCCACTGCAGCTCTGCTAACTTCCGGAAAGATCTTTACATTCTGCTATAAAAATGGTATTATTAGCTTGTTAAATGCTATCGCTGTTCCTTCCATTAAACTACAGTCCACATTTGACTTCTTCCGGTCCAGATCCCCTTATTAAAATGCAAAAAATACTATAGGGAAAAGGGACAGCATAAAGTTACTTATGAGTAGATGCTGTTCCACATTTCAGATTAACACTGGACGGTTAGATACCAGAAATGAAGGAGATAAACTGATGGGGAATTTAATTTTTTCCCCAGACTCAGTTCCAGATTTATGTCTGTAGTAACAGATTTATTTCTATAATGACATTTTCGGATCTAGGAATGTCCTGTTGAAATGTTTTATTGGGATAAAATTATTTCTGGCCATAAATTGGAGGAAATCAAGATTCAAAATACTGTCCCTTCCGTTTCACAGGCTTTCATCAACAATGTCCTTTTGGAACATTTTATTTGTGGTGATACATAAATGATATTCTGAAATATTTGTCTGGGTGAGGATCAATGTGTAAACCAGAAAGATCTCAAGATCCTCCTAAATCAAATCAAGTCTTTGTCTAGGTTATATACCATAATGCTGATACTCCTGATCTTCATTTACTGAATCATTATGAGTTTTTTTTGTTATTGGATATATGTTATTTACATATATACATACAGTATATATATTATTTACATATATAAATATATATGTAAATCCTGCCAACTGCCTTGTGCAACTGCACAAATCATACAAAGTTTACATCTCTGCACTATTTATTTACTGCCTGTTTGCACCTTGCACACCCTGTTACTGTGATGTTAAGTGTACTATATGTTACTATATGTTGCACTAAGGCCATGGAGAAACATTGTTTCATCATTCTTTGTACGTGTATGAAGCTGCTATTGACAATGAAGTAACCTTGAACCTTATTACATAATCTTTACTCTGGTTTTCTTACCTATACAATTTCAATGTATAATCAACTAGCATGCATATTAAAAAATGAAATTACATATGCTCAGAGGTGACAGTGAATTATTTCTTGCCCAGGCATCTAATTCATTGTCACAGTGTAGCTTTAGTTACAAGTACTGTGACAGCTGTAGGGCTTATTACAGCACTGCAATGATGAAGCTGTGTAGCTTAAAGTGAGGGCACTGCAATGATGAAGCTGTGTAGTTTACAGTGAGGGCACTGCAATGATGAAGATCCATAGCTTTTAGTGAAGACACCACAATAATGAAGCTGTGTAGCTTACAGTGAGTGCACTGCTCTACATTAACATCCACTGGTGATTTTATGTTGCCCCAAAAAGTGATTAATCCTGAATTGGCTTATTAAAGAGAAATGTTGCCACAATTCTTTTTTCAACCTACAAGATTGATAAATCGTATGTTTGTGATCCACCGAAGAGTTATATGTTCTCAACAAGTACCTGTCACTTGAAAGAAAGCTGACATTTCAACGGTAATTCTAATAATATATTTGCCATCGATTTAAGAAATTAAAGACTCTGCCATTGCCACCCTCACCATTTTTATAATAAAAACTGAACCAGCAGAAGATGCTCCTTGTTATCAGTGAGTTTCACATTTTATGGCATTAAAAATGCTTTTTGCATTATGGACGTGCCATTAAAGAGGATGCTGTGTACTTAAAGTGTCATGTAATTCTTCAGCGCTCTCTCTTTCAGACTTTACCTAATACTTTAAATGTTAATGCATTCTCCTTCCAGGCCCATTACTTCTTTCTGAGCTGACGCTAATTGGAAAGCTTTC